CATGAAAATTAACGTTTCTCATGTTGTATCATGTAGCTTGTATGTTCACGCTCGAGAGGCCAAGTTAAGTTTCTCGACTAGTATATGAAAGGAGGAAGTCCTTTGGTATGGGTGACTTACCCAATTCTCATCAGTAAAACTTGTCTGGTTAACCGGGTTTAACTAAATGAAAAGCAGGAACAGGGAACTGAAAAACTGAATTTTCTATTGGATTCAAGTAGTCGCTAACTTTTATATTTCAATATGCTGCATTAAAGCCGTCAAACTTCGGTTTGACTAGCTTCTATGAAGGAAACAAATTTAAAATCGTGGTTGACAAAACAGCTTTAAAACGTGTGTAAGCTTTTGGTGTGAATGGGGTCAGTGTTTATTTTTGGGAGAAATCAAGTTGTAGGGATCATAATGTGGTTTATCCCAAGAGTTGAGACTGAGAGCTCGAACAGAGGAACGTGTCGTATGAAATCGTCAGGAGAGCTTTTTCCCCTCTTTGTTACAGGTGTAATTCTTTGTAATCTTTGTTTGGCATTAGACGTAAATCAATCTGGAGTATCCTGGTTTTAAGTAGTTGTTTCCATGTAAACAAAAACGCGAACTTAGTACAATAGTAAGTTTGAAAGTGTGATGTGCGAGATGGAGGGGGGGGTGGTGGTGGTGCACGTTTTTCACACCCACCCCCTCGCCATCTGTAACAAAATTCTGTCTTTTGAGAAAAAGTGTGAGGAACAAAGATGGTTCAAATATTGTGTCGCTCTTTAACCCTTCAACTCCCATGAGTGACCAAGACAGAATTTCTCCTCGCAATATCCATACAATGTCAACAGATAAGTGATAAGAATAAAGAAAAAATATCAATTTGGGGATAATAAGTTGATCCAATACTAACTTCTCTGAACTGACATTAGAAGAATTGTAAGGTTGACATTTAGGAGAATTACAAATTTAATCTGGGAGTTAAAGGGTTAAAAGTTGGTTGTAATTTGCCTTGCGCAGATGGACAAGCTTGAAAAGGAATTAGAAGCGAGAAGAAGGCAGTACATGACGGAAATGGAGGACATTGATCGACGAAGAGAGGAAAAAAAGTATGAACTTAAAACATTGTGCCATGTGGTCAATCAAATAATTCACTTTAGTGATTGTCTGCATTAAGGAAGCAAGTCGTTTTCCTGTATCTTGATTTTTTTTGGTTTAAGTTCAATTTTACTTGTAATCTTTACCAATATACTAAATCGTAGACCATCGATGTTCTGTTCTGGTTTATTTTGGTCCGATACTGAGTAACAATCACCTTGTCGCACGTTCGTAACAAATGAGTAACATTTTTGTTTGTTCTACGATAGAAATCAAAATAACATATGAACCTACACTTGTTATTCCGTCTCGAAAGTCTCGAAACTCGACTCGAGCCTCAATTCTCGAGGATCGAGATACTTTTAACTTGCTTTAGTGCAGCACTGTAGTTTTCTGTAAATCAGGGGAATTTGGATTCCTTAAAGAGGTCACATATGTTTTTCTTGCTCGTCTCTTGCTTGTGATAGATGCATAAAATATCTCTTTTCTTTTTGGTTTCGTCCTGGCATCCAGTAGTTTCAGCAACTTTCTCTTTAAGCACGGTAAACTGCCAAATGTATGTATTGCTTATTGGGTTTCATCGAATGGTTTTGTTTTATTAATTCTTAATATTATTGTCATTTCTATTTTAGGAGAAAATTTGAAGAGGAACTTGAAGAATTTAGAAATGAGAAAAAGCTAGAGGAGAGAAGACAGAGATATCATGAACACGAGGTACAATGCAAAGGAAATGATTATTTACATGTATTGTACCTAATTCTGAACACACGTGAAATTCAAATAAGCACCGAAAATTTAAAAAAAAAATGGAAGATGTCTTCAATATTAATACATGTACGTGTACATTTTGTGTTTCCCGTTTATTTTATTGTAGAATAATAATTGCAATTGAGTGAGCAACAACAGTTTTCGGAGTACTGTTGATGTTCCAATAGGTCAGCCTTTGATAATGATCTTATTTTTCTTAATCTTTTTAAAACAGTCAGCAATATCTCAGATGGAGAAGGACCTCAAGCAGCGAGCACAGGAAGTTCGAGATAGGGACAAAGAGGTAGAGTATTTTACACCAAACTCTTTCTGAAGAAAGGAAAATTGGTCGTTGATCACGAATCGGAGCTATGTTCATGTCCGACGCCATTTTGCGTAATCTGCAAAAAATACTCAGCACTTTTTATTGATCTTAAAGTTAAACCTCGGAATAAAATCAGCCCACACGTGATATTTAAGCAGTTACTGTTTTTTTTTTTGGTTTTGCCCTTAAAGAAGTAAATTTATTTGTTCCTTTGAAGTGAACCTTGAATAAGCCATTGAATTTTCCATCCAATAAATTATGGTCCCGGTTGACTGTTTCTTTTGAAATTGTGTTGTTTATTTAATCACCGGTTTTTTGTTGTTCATACAGATTCGGGAGTATGAAGAATACTTAAATCGTCGCCATGCTGTCTGCAACGGCAAAGAAGAAGATTTAAATGTTCTTCAAAACGTTAGTAATCATTTCGTTTCTCACATTTCTGTGTAATTTAATGGTAATACATGTGAATACTTTTGGGATCGTCGTGTAGAGGGGAAGGTCTTGGGAAGTTCGGGTTGGTGGGAGGAGGTGCCGGAAACCCGGCCTTTTTTTGGAAGTTACAGGCGTATATAATTGCTATTGATTGTGTTGTAAGATAATGGGATAAATGTTTAAAGATGTGTATACCGTTAGGTACGTGTACTGTGTACTGTTGCTCTCTTTTTTTTCTGCTGGCGGCCGTCTTGACGCTGATGAACGATACCATATGTTCATCTCTGAGCAGCTGGCTTCTAAATTGTGTTTGACTGTAGCAGATAAATGATATGTTATTTTGTGTTCTAGGAATTGGATACCCTGGCCAAGGAACTAGAGTCCAAAAAGGCAAAGTTAACTGATAAGCACCATCTTGTGCATCAAAGCTCTGAAGAAAGCATCGCAGTGTCCACCCCTCCTACGAGAGCCAGGTATATAACACAAGAGATTGCTTTAGGAATCATATTATTATTAACGAAACTAAGGCATTTCTTGTTATTTCTCTTATTTTCTAGGAGCACCAGTCGAGCAAGCGTGTCTGGTAAAGGAGTAGATTTGAGGATTGAGGAACTAAAATCTCAAAATCGACAACTGCTTGAGGAACTGTTCAGTCTGAAAAAAAGCTGTGAGAATAAAGACGATGAACTTAACGTATTAAAAGAAAAGGTAACAAAAGTAATTCTCTGAAATGTACTTTGCTTACGCATTGTTTCCATAAATATTTTGTTTTGTGAAGTAGGCATTTATGGCTTCAGTCGAATGCACCAATTTTTGTACTTACTTAAGCTATTTTTTTTCTATTTGTGGTTATGGATTTGTTGTAGTTGGAAGCTTCAGAAAATGAAAACAAACGCCTACAACAGAGAACGAAGCACTTGGAAACACAATTAGACCTAGCAAGAAAGTCGGCCGAGTTGGGTGCAGACAGTGTCTCGGTGGACGAGATAATGCGGAAGACCACTCAAGACATGCGCAGTGCGCGGAATTCCCGGATTATCCGCCCTTCTCGATCAGTAGCTCCGGCCCCGGGGTCGTCAACTTCAACATCCGCGGGTGTAAAGCCCCGCCGGTTTTCTTCGAACGATTCACTCGGAACTAAAATCACCAGTAGCTCAGACTCAGGAAAGGGAACGAAGGAGTCGGCAGCAAAAAGCTCTAAAGGATCGTTGGGCAAGAAAGGTAAAGACAACGGCGATGGAAGGCACAAGATGGGAACAGAGAAAATCACTAGTGCTTTATGTGCTGTTATGTAAGCGCTGTTGTGGTAGTTACCATAACCAATTTGAATTTGGATGGCATGCGAAATTACCAATTGGAGATATATATTTTTATAGTGGGTTTCTCTGAAATCGTTTCTGCCATTTAGTAATGCAATTGGCTTTCCTTGATTAAGAGTTCGCAGTAAACACTCGTACACACCCCGCACATACAACATTCATTTTTTCGTCTTTACACCGAAGAGGTTAAGTTTTCTCCAGTGACCTGAATGCCCCTTCAAAATCCACAAATCATACTCATTACGTCATCAACCCGTTTCACTCTTAAGATCTGATTAGTAGTTCTCCCATCCAGCCACCATACATTTCATTGTAAATTGGTAGGAAGAATTTGATCACTGATCAAATAATTGATCAGTAAGAAGAATTTGATCACTTCTGATCACTTGTTGCGCTAGCCTCATTGGTTCAGTGTAGAATAATCTCGATCATTCATAAATTATTATGAAATTATTATTATTTTGCCATATCATTTTACACAGAAATTCTCCCCAAATCGAGTGCAAGATTTTTTGTAAAAATCGTGATCAAGTCAGCAAAATGATTTTAATTAGAAATCGTCAGAGTATTTATTGCTAAGGTTTTGTACATATTTGCTGGACAAGTAATACTTAATAGTACCATTTGATACTGGGGAACAAAATCTTTCTCACGACGATAAAATGAAGAACGTGGTAATAATATATTTAAAAGTTGACCATCGACTATTTTTGAAACAAGTATATTTTATACTTCCAATCGTGGCTGTAAATATACCGTCATCGATATTTATTGAGGAAAACCCATTTGTGGGTATTTCATATTTTGTTGCAATAAATAAAAACAGGCTTGAAGAATACAGTAAATTGAAAGTATGTCGTTTTTTGGTTATAACTGGGCGAAAGGAATGGCGAGATCTCGCGAAAAAAAAAAAAACAATGCCACTACTCCTACCGGGTCACCTGAACGAAATTAAGAAATGTTGTTTTGGGAGGCGAACAATAATGATTCTACCTAAATTCAACCAGTGCCCATCATTTAAAAAAACCTGAAGGAAGCAAATACGACAAGGCTTTACTTGAAGTTCCTTGCTCGTTTCCGGGAATCGGATAATGAATTATGATACAACGTTCGAAAGGTACCTTTTTAATCTGTCTAAAGATATCTTAGAATACATTGCACTCCACAATTTTCTACATAACTTCTATTGCATTGTTTTAGTATCCATTTTCAACCACGCTTACGCAGAAATGACTAACAGGTACTATTGGTTCCCTTGTTACAGCGGGACCTCCATGCTGCAATCTGTCAGCGTTAACATAAAGTGGTCACGCTGATCATCGATAGCACTTTGTTCCATTGTTTGTCCAATTGTTTCTTCCCCTTCTTGAACCCAAAAGGACTGGGTCTGGTGCCCTGCAGGCTCATCATCCTTTTGGTCAGCATCTAACTTGGGAAGAAATGGTAGACAGGCGTCTAACATCCCGTGCATCTCCAGAAACGTCTGTAGGGAAGATGGGAAAAACATGTCATGACACTTAACAAAACAAATTCAAGTAGAATCTTACTGCGTTCCATTTTCTAGTGAAAATTGGCATGTCTATCTGCGTTCCTACAAGAGTAGGTAGTCGGATGGTAGGCTGTAAAAAACTGTGAAGTACACAAATGAAACCATTGAAGCTGAGGCAAACGGAGTCGTAAAAAAGATTTCTTAAGCACTTACACTGACAATCCTTTTAACTGAGTGCGAGAGAAGTACCTTCAAAGGTTAATTTTCTGCGGCACCGGCTGATGACTAGACTCACACTCGGGGTGCGTAGGCACTCCAAAAAGAGATATATTCCTAGCTGATTTCCGTTGAAGGAAAAACATTTTTGATAACAAAGCCATCGGGAGAAAGGGAGCACCATTTTTGTCTCATACTTAAAAGAACACGTCTTACCCATAGTTCGTCAAACCCTTTCATCTGGTGAGATGTTATATACTGAGCCGACGGCATATCAAGGTGCGCTTGGTGAAAAAGTTGGACAAGTTGTATTGCATTTTCCAACCTGAAACGAAGAAATTGCAGCCAAGAAGAAAAGAAAAATTTAAGTTTACTGCTCGTTGGAAACTATTTTTATTTCTCCTAGGGTTGGTGATGACATTAACATATAACAAAAGAATTTGCTCTGCTTGACAGCGAGGGCGAAGTAACTCTTACCTAATATGGAGAAATATCTAGAATGAGGGCTGAAAGGTCTACCTCACGAATAGCAATGCAGTGAATGTCTTAGTTTAGACCTCAGTTGATACACAGTATTACAAACATTTCAATTCCCAATTCTCAAACATTTGCTGAAATAGATTGATGCTCCAAAAAAGAGATACCCTTGAACTGAAAATTATAAAATAGGGGGACATTGCTAGATTGAACACCAGGTTCTCAGAGCTAACAGCATAAAAAAGTATGGTGATAGAATTTATATATAGGTACTGGCAACGAAAGGGTTGAACCCCTTTTTAACGAACCTTGACAAGGGCGTTTCTTCAGAAAGTGGAGTGTTAGTTTTTGGACAAGATGACACATCAAGGATAAATTTATCGGCGAAATCGCAATCACCGCATCGGGCACACCTGGCGATTTTCGCCGATCGCAGCTATCGGAGTCGCTGGCTTTAATGTTTAAGATTTATCGTTTTATTATGTCACTGTTATCGTGTTTATAAAGAAAAGACATCAAGTCCTTAATGTCCATTAGTCATTTCAATGAAGTTACTAGTAGTATTATATCAGTTACCTGCCAGCTTGTATTGTCTTGAGTAGAATCCCGTTAATGTTTTTGCCCATGATAAGGAATTTAAGCAATTTGTCAAAATAAGCTGTTCCGAGGAGTATCTAAAAGCAAAACAAGAAATTTCGAGAATTCGAAGTCAATGACTAGGTTGTCGTCTCACTAAAAATCACAGCATCATTCCCACGTACCTGATACTCTTGTTTTTGTTCGACATATTTAAACACCTCCTGTTCAACCTATGGACGATAAGAATGAAAAAGAAATTTGAATACCAACGGTGAGGTAATAAAACGTCTAACGTCTGGTCGCCTTATCTTATTGAAGTTGGACGACACATCCTTTTGAACTTTTCTTGTGATTTTATTTGTCTGGTACAGAAAATGTTTATGTCATGCAAAAAGAGAAAAAACGGAAAAAAGGTTTCGCAGACGAGCAAAATAAACAAAGAAATGATCCTCAGCTTGTGGACTGCAGTGTAATCAATCGAACCCATACCCCGCAGATACTAGTTGAGGCTACCAACAACCGAGTTACGAAGTCACACTTAGGGAACGAGGCAAATTTTAGAGGGTTCTTTTTTCCGCAAAGGAATCTGAACACAATTTTTTAATGAGAGAAATTTCAACAACGACAATAAAACCAGTAGCAATAGTAACAAGTGCTTACAGCATCAGGTTGGATTAACGTGCTTCCTCTTTGACGTTGTTCGTCCAACTGAGCAAGAATAACATTCACACAGTTTGTCTCCAGCAGTGCCTGAACAGGGATGAAAGAAAGAGAAACGTCGTTTAAAATGATAAGGGAGACTTAAAAAAAAAATCTCCACTAAAAACAATAAAAAACAACCCAATTCTCTGGTGATAGCCCTTCGCTCTGACGAAGGATTAACGCTCAAAACATCAGCTTCAGAAACTCTCTACGGTGGCCAATTTTAAGTATCAACTCAGTTAATAAAACCAAATTATTGTGTAATATATTCCACTGACACAGCAGCACAGTTCTTTAGAAGATTCTTTTGGTGTTAAATATATCATTGTTAAGGCCCATATGAACTTATATCCACGTTCGATAACAAAATTGCCAACCAACATAGCTTCGCAAAGTTGCTTGAAAATTGTGAAGATACCCTCTGATATCAAACCTGAATATGCTTTTCGCGCGCACTACTTGACGGGATTAGCAGGAGACAGGCCAGTGAGTGGGCCTGGAGACCAACTTTGTGGAACTGCACTGCGATGGAGTACACATCAAGGTCGAGGAGGATAGGACATCTAGAGGGAAAGATCATAGGCTTGAAAACAAAACACTTGATTCATTCTGGAACAATCAACTTCAATCAGGATGATGGTGTGGCGGTCAGTAGCATAAAGCGACAAGGGTATACTACTTCTAAGACAAGATGGGGTTATAGTCCGGGGCCCAGTTGTACGAAAGCTGATTAGCACTAACCCAGAGTTAAATTTTGATCCGGGTTTCTCTATTTCTCAGTTCAAGAGCCTGTTTGGGATGATTTTCTCTATTCTTTTTGGAGCATCCCATCAGCAAATTGTAGACAAAAATATTTAAACTGACTTTTCTTTTAAAGCTGAAATAAAATTTTACACTAACGTGAGGTTATCATCATCCAGCTTTGAACAACCTGACCCAGGGTAAATGACCACTTTTCTGCATTTAATCAGGCTTATGCGACAGTCTGATGGTAGCCATTTAAGTGAGAGAAGCACCTTAAGAGTCAAGTGACTTGTTTAAAACACCTCATAATGACGACTCTCTCGAACAGGGTCAAGCGCCCATGACACTGGTCCATTACGTTTCCAAAATCTTAGTATACTTCTTCTGAAATTTGTAAAGTGTAAACAATTGCTTTCCATGGGCAAAAGGTCAAAATAAAATGAAAGAGAGGCGGCTTAAACCTTTGAAGGATGAAACGTTATGCGATTATAAAGCATCTTTTTGTCGACACTGCCAAAGAAGAAACCTCAGTTTTCGACCCAAACCGACTTCTTTACCTCTGTAGTAGTGATGCAGATTCTTCACAAGCAGCGACCTCCTCCTCTGATAACGGTGTAGAAACTACAAGACAAAAACGAAGTTCGAGACAAATATCTGTTAGGTGGCACACGGTGCATATGTTACAAAGCTAACATCTCAGGATTGTTTTATTAAACACCCCTTGCAACAGGAGAAGAAAATATATACCAGCCGCAAACTCCTCCGGTTCAAAAGGCGGGTAAGAATGTCAAAATGTTAAAAAGAGGTTGTAAGAAATTAGAAATGCAGCTTGCCCTTTAGGATCGGATTAATTAATATCACGTCCAATTCTTTTCTTGGGCCTCAGAACCGAGAGCGAAAATAGAACATTTGTTTCGCAGTGTTAGGACTCAGAGTCACTTAACCTGCATTGCAGGCGTGTTATTAGGGTGAGCGGTTAATATTAAACGGGACCGTTTATCTGATCGGCCATGTTTGAATTGGAGTTAGAGTGGACGGTGGGGGCAGGGGAGGGGCGAGAAGTAATCTTCACTCCCCCACCCTCACCCCTCTCCTCACTTTTGACCATCGACCGCCTCCTTGGTACAAATTTCTTTCGCTCCCCAGCCTTCCGCTGCCATTAAAATCAAAGATGGCGGCCATAAAATACTGAGCACTCGCTCGCCACAGTTACGCTTGCCAAAGTTGTTGAGTCATTTAGAAGCTTCAGCATTTGAAGGAATTCAGCAGGTGAAACCAAAGCGATCACAACAGTTAAAAATGTCTCGCTTACAGCTCTGCACTAAAATGTGTTTTCACCACAAACCTGATTTGAAGGGGGCTGTTAGCACACTTCTCCATACTTGAGGCAAACAGCGAACCTTGGAAGTTCAAATATAGAAAGCTTAATAATGACAAAATGACCAGGTAGGGTTAATTTTTGTACTTAATATGAAAATCACAACAAACACTTACCTGCCACAGGTCAGAAATCCCAGCTAAGTTAACAAGAACCCGACGAAGGTATTTTATCTGAAAAAGGTAGAAAAGGTAGAATGATTTTCAGAGACAGCCATGTAAGTTGTAACTACATTTAACGATTCCAAATTGCCGTGCGTCTGTTCAGTAATAGATCACAGATGACGTCAAAATGTGGTAAGAACAAAAAAGTGGCACACGAGGCGCAACCGAGTGTGTCACTGATGTTCTTACCACATTTTGACGTCCTTGGTAATCTATTACTGAACAGACGCACGGCAACTTGGAATCTATTTTTTTATATAATAAAGAATTAAAAAAAGTTTTAACGATGACGTCATCTATACGTCTGTCCTCCGATAGATCATAAGTGAGAACCAATCAGAATGCGTGCATAGTTCATGGTCAATATTAATCAGCATCTTAAAGCTAGGAAATTAGATTGAAAACACGAAGTCGAGGAAATAGAAAACTGAAAAAAGTTTGCTATGTTTGACTCGTTCAGTTTGGTTTTTCTATCATTTCGTACGTTTCTTTAAGAGAAATGGTGTGAGGTTTTCCTATACCATTCTAAGAAGAAAAAAGAAAGAAATCAAACGTCTGGAAACAGGATACTTTTTAATTCGCACATTACAAGCAACCCCAAATTTATCTTCCCCGACCTAGTATTCCAGTCTTGTTTCCAAACCAGTCAAGCATGGGCTGTCCTAGTATCAATGGTCCAGCTCAAATGTGACCTACTCGATAAATATAACTCACCATTCCAAAAGCCAGAAGCTGCTGAAGAACACTGTTCCACAGCTGAGGATCGTTTATGTTGTTATCAAGACACAAGTCCGCTACAAGACGTACAGCCTGAGAGGAAGTGGATAGTAATAAAAAAAATCCATCCATGGATACAAGAATAAATAGCGAAATAGCGAAGTAAATATAATCATAAAGAACTGCACAAACAAATAAACAGTATGCACTTTGAGCCAGGATAAATGAAATCTTACAAAGGACCTCTTGAATATTGGCCAACACTATTGGTTAACATTAGCAACCAACCATGAAGACCTCGCCCCACAACATCGGAAAACAACATTAATATTGGCCAACAATGAAAGTACTGGTTATTAATGTTGGTGATAGTGGCCAACAATTAGAAAATTGACTAACAACACTGGCAACATTGACTAATAATATTTACGTATCCACGCATTTAATTTCACCTAGGTTTATACCCCTCTAAATCTGTTGAATGCGTTTCAACATGACAGCACCAACCTTCCTCTCGTGCTTATGGTTTCTCCACAGTCCTCGTACCAGTCCTTCCTTGTTGCATTTGTCAAACGCGCTTGCCGACTGCTGTATGTGTAATCCCTCGAGCTCAGCGAGACAAACTAGAGCCTGCATCTGTTGCCTGTCAACGGTACCAAAATTAGTGGGAAAATATGTCGTGTCAAGAGTAGGTGCCCTTTGAATGAGTTCAAGTTGTGCCCTAGGGATCTATATGAAAACGGAAAAAAACTAATCTCGGACCATGGGTCCGCTTCACTGTGGTGTTAAGTGGTTAGAGATGGTGAGTATAGACTTAACATTCAACGATCATGCTAAAGTGTTACGACCGTTAACTTTCAAAAATTCTGAGTCCCCATGCGGAATCGAACCTCAAATCTTCGGATTCCGCGCTCCGATGCTCTACCACTGAGCCACAGAGACCCCATGGTAAGCGATTACGAAGTTCATTTGTCCCACGCTTGTGACAAGACGGAAAAAAAGCCTTTCTCTATTTCTTCACCGAGCTCAAAATTCACCATCTCTCTTATTTCTATCTACAAACATTACGCTATCGACATTGCTGATCCAAGAAGTATGCAAGACGCGTGTCATATGAACTTCGTAATAGACCTCGCTCACTATGGGGTCTCTGTGGCTCAGTGGTAGAGCATCGGAGCGCGGAATCCAGAGGTCTGAGGTTCGATTCCTCATGGGGACTCAGAATTTTTTCCTTTGTCCCACGCTCGTGCCAAGACGAAAAAAACATCTTTTTCTATTTCTTTACCGAGCTAAAAACTTGACATCTCTCTTATTTCTGTCTATATCGAATCATATTACACCTTTAAAACAAAAAAAGATCACAATTCGCCTCCCAATAGAAGAAATACCTTCGTTCACCTAATATGTGTAGCTACTTGTGATACAGAACACTCGTTCGAGCCTCAGCTAATTCGTTATCTTACCTGATCACGCTGACTGAAGTTTTGCACAGTTTTTCAATGAATTCTCCAGGAGCAATGGCGAAAAGAGTTCGAAGCGCACGTAGACGACAGGTGCTCGAAGACCCAGTCTAGAACAGTAATAAAAGGTCACCAGTATGTGTTGTGTGGCTTTATATATCGCTTTAAAAGAATATGGGATTATATGCTTATCTTTAACCCTTTACACCTTAACATCAATATACATTTTCTCTATACTCTTCTCCATACATTTCTTAAGGTGCTACTGAGGAGAATTTATTTAACTATCAGGAGCTTCTTTAGTTGGTGATCATTTCCGTTATTCTTGTTACCATAATGTGTGTTACAGGAGTGATATGGTAAGGAGAATTTGGATTCTAGTCACTCTTAGGGGTTCAAGGGTTAAAAGCGCTGGAAATCTCTAAACCCAGGAACAAAAAAAATAAGGATCGGCCAGTCGCAAAACACCTGGTACCATCGACTCAAAGTACTTTCACATGTAAGTAGATAGAACAAAAGTCCACTGTTTCTAAAAACCCAAACACACAAAAATAAACATATCACCTAAAATTGATTGGTTCTCATATCGATACAAAATACTTCAGATTCTGGCGTCGAGCCAGATATGTAAAACCTTGTACAAGGCCTTAAGTTTCAGTACCCTCGGGAGATGCTCATCAGTAAGAGTAAGTCTACCGTTTTAATTCTGATGGTAAAATATTTTTTTCCTTGTTCTACGCTTGAAAGAGATGATTTGATCATCATTCTTCCTTAGATCTTACCTTGTTTGCAAGATTGAGAAGGAATGTAACAGTAGTTGGTCGGTCGCTGCTGCTTTCCATGATGTAGATGACCCTGGACGAAAAGAGAAAACATCAGAATAATGATCAACATAGCTCGACGAGAAACTAAGACGCCTAAAATGTACATCTCGGGCGAAGTAAAGAGCATTGCATGCAGAATAAACAAATCGGTTGATAGCTTCGAAATTCAGAAGAGATAAATCGAGAAATTTAGTAAAAGCAGGGAAAATATTTCAGATTCCTCATCAGGGGAAAATTTCATGGTAGACATGCTCTGAAAAATTGCTTCCTGCTTGGACCCTCTTGATATAAACAAGTAGTCTCATAGTTCAATGAAATATTCAGCATGCAATAAGAACAATTCGTGTGTTTTTTCACCTTTTCAGGTTCTGCTCATCTTCCTCATTTTCCTCACTAACAGGTGTGATCAACTGAAGATCAAGTTTTCATTAGTAAACATCTAACAACAACTTTTACTTTAAAATCTAAAAGGCGTAATTTTAGGTGTGAACATGTTTAGTGATCGGGTAATTTTTATTTTCTTCATCACAGCAGGGGAGGTAAGAAACTGCTAACTGGAAAGATGAGAAGCGCTTTCAAAAGCTTCAACGAAAAAGGAGCTGCGGGCAACAGTGAAACAAGCGGAGGCCAGAAGTTAAAGTACCCAATTTCGTCCAAAATTCAACTTAGAGGATTTTTCAAGTTTAATTCTCAGCGTTGAACCTCGAGCAAAGAAGTTGATGTCTCGATAACCGTACGGCGCTTGTGTTAAAGGTGCTCTTTGACCGGTTATATCCTTGTTTCAATGACTTATCTTTCAATATGAGAACATACCATGTTTGTGTATGTGAATACATTTATTATATCGCAGTGCCCGTGGTCAATAGGAAGCGAATCCTGTATTCTGATTGGTTACCCGAACCGCTCGGGATTGCCCACTTTGATCCCGCGCAAAAACAAATTTGAAATGGACATACATCGGCGATAGAGTTGCAAAAGGCGGCTGAAGACACAAAGGAAACATAAACAACTCTTGTGGGTTTGTGCTACAAACACAGTTGGCTCTCTTTCCCGCCTCTCGAAATAAACAATTCTCGGTCCATAAAATCGGGAAAAAAAAAACTCGGCCAGTATCTAGTCATCTTGACATAGACTTGGTCAATAACGCATATATAGTTACATCAATACACCGAGGTAAATGCTGCTGGCTTTGTTTGCTGTCTTGCCCAACGGAACGAGCCATACTAAAAGAAAGTTCGTTCTATTACCTCCGTGTCACCTGATGTTTCAGCTGAGGAAGGTAGCCATTTCTGAAAACAGAGATTACAGTCATTGCAAGGTATGAGCAATTATGTTTAGGAACACAATGATAAGATTACTTATGTTTAATGTAAGAGTGGTACTGGAAAAATGTAGAGGGCACTGAACGTGTTCATTACTCCGGCTGCTAGTTCTTTTTTTAAGTTTTCTCTTATTCCTGTGTAAAGCGTTTATCCTACCTCAATTAAATAAAGCCTGATCTTCTCTATCTTGGTATTGTTCACACTTGCGACTTCCTCCGCAGTTTTGTGGATGTCTACACAAATAATTCATTAGTACTTTAATTCGGTTTAAATGAAAGAAATCAGAGTCTAGGTGGCAAATGGGGAGAAAATCAATACAAGAGGGCTCACACAGGGCTTAATCCTTCGAAAATTATATGCCGAAGAAGTCTCTAGCTCTTCATTGAATGATAAATTAAAAATGGGGCTCCTTTAAGGAAGCAGAAAAGAGTGTCCATTATAACTGGAGCTGGACGCTTTTGGGAACGATCCACTGAGCGGACGCTGGTATTAAAATTGACGGCCCTAACGAAGAACTACCGATCTCTAAAAATCGCAAATATAAAGTATAAGACAACGATCATCATATATTAAGTCCACCGAGCCGCATATACTCAGCGGACTGTAATTCTTGACCCTTCAAACGCATTTGGGGATTACAGGAAACAATACAGACACATGTTTGAATGGAGGCAAACGGAGATTTTCAAAGCAGCCGTAAATAAGTGACGGGAGCTTCTTCGTTGGTCTTTTGCAGAGTTGGTACTAGTACCTGGCGGTAGGTGAGCAGTGCCTGGTTCTCTAGCTCCATATTTTTCATACAGCTGACAAACCAGTTTGGCCGGTTTACTTGTTAAAGAAGCGATGGAAGGGTCTACAATGTTATATTTGTGGAGTACATGTTCAGTGGCCACGCCCCGACACAGCTCCAACAAGCGGCTATGGGTGAGTTTTGCCTTCTCTTCATCCTGAAATATGTCAAAAGTTACAAAATGTGGTGCTTTTCAAACTGGTCGGTACGAAAAAAAGGGTCACAAAACCTTTCCCAGCTGCCATACAAGTCAAGAGATAATGCGCGACATCTCAAACCTAGTACCACTAATTTTTCAAAGAAAACATAAGTAATCCCGGTCTATGAGAGCCACGAGTGACAATGCTTAAATTCTATTTAAAGAGTTAAAGTTTTTTCGAAGAAAACCTAGGAGACAAATTACAATACCTTTTCAGAACATTCCGATTTCCAAGTCTTAGCAAGGTCAACACAAGTCTTCAGCATATCTATTTTCTCCTCGCCTATGGGAGGAAGCCAGACGGGGAAAATATTATGGTTCTCTCTTCCGCAAATCACAAACATTGATGAGACTGACATGTCGAGATGAGTTCACTAAGCCCGCAAATAATTTTTGTCGATTGGCAGGTCATATGTCAGGCTACGGACTAGCTTAAACCGACAACAGGCGTTCAGAGTCTGTGAATTTTGACCTTGATGCAGAATTACGCAAACGAATTGGAACCACTTTGAACTTGTGCAAATTTGTTTCTCCATGTCTCAGGAAGCAAAGCCGTCACCGCCACTGTTTTCTCACCTCGCGTTTATCGGCTTTTCTATAATCAAGTTGCTATTATGTTAAAGATACTTACGATAGAATGATAGTCTATGAATGATTTATAGAATGATGATTGTCGTTGGATTGCGCCACGAGCTATTGTTAATGAGCGCTATAGAAATAAAGATATTATTATTTATCATTATTGACTTTCCCCTTAACTTTGAGAAATGTTAGGTATAAAAAGTGTAAAGACTTAAGAGATGTTTCTGGCGAAAATGCTACTATTTCATTACCGAGAGGTAAATTTTGAGCGATCCACTTGGCAGCGGCTATGGCCATCTCCTTGTTGTTAACAGCATACAGCATACTCTTGGCCTTTTCGCTGTTGTAGTTCTTCACCAGTTGGCTCGGTCCTTCATTTACATTCAGACCACTTATGTTGGGATCACCATCAAGATCACAAGGAACCGCTGGACCGACTGAAGATCGCGCTAAGTTACGTATAGCTGTGAGGTACATCTCATCACTGGAAAGCTTTAAAAGGAAACGGTACGAAAAAATAGGTCGGAAAAACTAGAGGCATTAGAAATGATTCACTAATGAGCAGTGAACATTTAGCTATTCTTTGGAAAACTTGAAAGTGTATAACCTTGGAAGGTTAATATCTATATCCTGTTAGTCGACAACAAACGCCTCACCTTGAGCAAGTTAGCAATGCCCAAAAGCTTTGGAACTGTTTCCTCTGACAACTCGGGAGCTGAAAATTGATTCAGGTAGAAAAGCTGACCATGAATTCAAACACGAAGGATCTTTCCCGGAACCAGGTAGAACAATATCTATTTAACATTGACAAACATTGAAACATCCAAATTGACTCAGCTACTTACCAAGAATTTTCCATGGATTCCCGTAAAGCAGAGAATGATATGGGAGCCTCGTTCTCGACATCACGGACAACGGTTTATCGTTGTCCAAGGTGGCCTGTGAAGACATCAAATGTCAGTACACTGTTAACTCCCTCTCTAAATTGTATTTTGTTGATATGGAATCAGGGACCCAGAGAAACCAAAAGCAAAACAGACAAGCTTGGCAATTTCAAAAATTAAGTGGAAAAAAAAAATTGGGCTGTCGACAGTTAAATAAAAGTTACAATTTTATATCAAAACTTTTTAACACTACAACTCCCAGAAGTGATTAACATGGAACTTCTTCCTTTGATCTAACAACAAATTCTTGTATTTAATTTACAAGGATATGTGTAGAAGCTAGACGGGAGAATTAAAAATCAGATCTTGGGAGTTAAAGGGTGAACCTAAGAGACAGCAAAGGCTACGCAAGTGTTTTTAGGGACATAAACTCGCTGTCTTGAACTACCAAATCAAAGGTCCATTTCAATGAAATTCTTTTTTTTTTTTTTAATCGGACCGAATGAACTCAAATAGGGGCCATTCACTCCCTTCAAATTGTTTCATACCAAGTCTTAATATTTGTCCAGGAAACGATAAAATTAAAAATGTCGAGGTTGAAAACTAGCGTTTAAAAATTTCATCTAGGTCCCTCACCTTTTCACTGTCAGTATTCTGTGATGAAGAATAAAACGATCTCTCATAACTGGTTGGCACTGCTTTGCGCTCGTACTGATACAGGTAGTCCAATAACTGAATACCCTGTAACAGGGAAAAAAACCAGACTAGTCTGTCACGGCAGGTTCACAAGAAAAAAAGACATTTAAACTACAATGCCATATGTTCGAGTTTTTCAGATTTGGAGCAGATGTCTTGGACCTCAGAATCTCCGTAAAATCGCATCATTGTCCCAGGACATCCTTCGAAAGTTCCACGCGGTTTAATCGAGAAGCAGCACGTTTAAATCATCAAGTACAAAAGTCATATCCACACAGGGATGGTAGCTGACCTGAGGCAACAATGAGTTGGTTTCATACCTTGTCAACAGTTGAAGCAGTTTCCTGAGAGAGTTCCTTCACCAGGTTGAGTATGAACAGAATTGTATCATAGTCATACGGATCCACCTGAAAAGCAAGATATGAAAGTTTACCTCACACTTGAATTTAGTTAGATGACAATTAAACCATGTTAACCGCTGCGAGCTTAACGGGTGTTTAGGGTCAACAGTTATTGTCAAAAACACAGAGGCTCGCGCGGTTGGATCTTGGTGTTCGAGAGCGGTTTTAATAGCGGTTGTGTTTCAATCCTGTGTGGTTCATTCGGCTGTTCACAAGCGTTACCACATCCCTCCCCACCCTACTCGTCTTTTCCTACCACCGATCTAATCAGTGTGGAAGGGTCCCTAGAACGAGAGGCTTGTGGCTAGGGTGTGGCGAATTTCCAGTCATGAGGGTGGTAATCTATCTGAAGGTTAAGCTAGCCTGAGGGTACCCCCCTGAGACGCGTAACTTCCAATCATGGGAGGCAACGGTTGATAAAGTTTTAACTAATACCCCATTCATATCAAAGCCAAAACACGTTTTAAAGCTGTTCCTCCTTCTATCTGAAGGTTGAGCTAGCCTGAGGGTACCCCCCTGAGGCGCGTAACTTTCAATCATGGGAGGCAACAGTTGATAAAGTTGTAACTAATACCCCATTCATATCAACGCCAAAACACGTTTTAAAGCTGTTCCTTCTTCTATCTGAAGGTTGAGCTAGCCTGAGGGTACCCCCCTGAGGCGCGTAACTTCCAATCATGGGAGGTAACGGTTGATAAAGTTGTAACTAATACCCCATTCATATTAAAGCCTAAACACGTTTTAAAGCTGTTCTGTGAAACACAATTTCAAATTGTTTCCTAACTAGAAGTTGCTTAAACTGTTTGTCAACTTCAAATTAAGAAATGAAAGTAAAAGTTAGTGATGAATTGACCCCTACGTAAAAGTTAGTTTTTGAATTTTTTTATGGCTGATTTTTCTTCAGCCAAATCTCTTTTAACTATATATGTTTTGCTGGTGTAAACTGGGGAATAACTTACTATAATTTTGATTACAGTTTGGATACCTAATCTGTTTGGAAGTTTTCTTTGATGCTACTTATCCGTCAACCAGTTCACGGACGTTGTTTCTCATAGACATATTACAACTAAGACTGTTTTTTATGTCATTTTTCGAGCCTACCTTTGACCCTACTTCCACCATCAGTTTAAGAAGGGAACTTGAGCAGGAAATTTTATGGACCACTTTCCGCACATTCCTTTGATAATTCATTTCTTCCACACCATCTTGTGAAACCACCAGCGGCGAGCGAGGGGAGGGTGGGAGCAATTGCTGTCTAACATACGTCAACAAAGCGCTATCCTCGTCTAGTTTAAATGCCCTGAGAATCACAAAGAACACAGGAGCTAAAAGCATGGCACCACCGATGCATATGTGACTTATACGGAAATGTAAAGTACGGAAAATTTCAAAATTAAATTGATTGTAGCATAAATATGCATTTCATTGTAAAGGCAACGAAATCGACAGCCGTACCTGCAAAACTCCAAAATCATCTCAAGGCTAATCTGTTGTTTTTGCATCAGGTCTGGTAAAATAGCTAACTTCTCTTCCCGGTCGGTTTTATACACGTCCTTCAACGACATCTGCAAATAATTGAAATCGCCCGTTAAATCCAATATGTATTCCAATATGTGTTTAATCGTGGTTCGATATGGAATGACACTGTTCTGCAAAATTAGTTAACATAGAATCCTTTAGGAACCAAATCCTTTGATCTGAGAATTCCTTGATAAATTTTCCCTCAACATAAACAATGTTCAATTATTTTGTTTGATGATGTGGTTCGGTATGGAGTGACACTATGTTCAGCAAAATTACTCGACAAAGAATCATTCGGTGACCAAATCTTTTGATCTGAGAATCCCTTGATAAATGTTTCCACAACACAAATAATGTTAAATTATTTTTAGTTGATCAGTAAAACTCAAAACTACATAGGGGGGCTGTGGGACAGAGGGGACTTTTAAAATATGGGTAACAGACGAAAAACATTAGTCACGTTCACAAGAAGCATCCATGAGGGGCAGCATGGTGGAGAGGTCAGCGTGTCAGATGCGCGCTGCGGAGGTACATGCACACTCCTCTCTGATCCTAGCTTTGAATTTGGACCCTCCAACAAGTTGCTAAAACAAAGTTCATATAATTTAAGACGAGATGCATTCTTCCAGTAAAGGAAAAAGGCAAACCGTTACCTTAAGTCGTCCAAGTTTTATTCCCCATGTGGCATTGGTAAATATTTCCTGACACTTTTGCAGAACAGCAGGCTCATTACACAGCTGAGCATAGTCCATGCCAACCTTAGAAAACGCCTACAAGAAGAAGTTGAGTTCTAACGATCAAATCGGTCAGCAATACTTCCATTTTTCAAACTCACGCTTAAAGCAAACAAAAAAACAGAAAAACAAAACAAATTTAAAAGAGAATCAATGCGATAATGGTCACAATAACTAATGATAAATAAATAATTTCTATCAAAGTTTCTAATAGCGTCTTACCAGAATTTTAGTACAGCTCTGACCAAGGAAGTTTGTTCCAGATACCAAGATCTGAAAGGCAGTCTGTTTTGGTATGGAACACAGGTAACCAAGACCCACGTCATGGTCAACTGATCGATAATTGAATACCTACATGACACAAAAAAAGTTTTTTTAGTCGCCGCTTGCAGAAGCGAGAGCTTATCAAGTGTTTGTCATTTCTTTCTCCATTTTTAAAAATGCCATTCAGGTTTTGTTTAACGGGCAGCAAAAAGTTCGAAAACCTCATCAGTGAGTGTAAGAGTGAAGGCAGTTTGTGGATCGAGCCTTGAGAGGTTTACTTCCGGCAGGATTAAGAATTACTGAGACACCACGACGGTTCTAATAGTCAATGTAACTCTTACTTCGCCGAAAAAGACGTAATATATTTTGAAGTAGCCCTTTCGATTACCAATGTATGTTACAACGTAACAAAGCTGGGCTAAATCGTTTTTCCTATCAATTTGACAACGCACCTTCCTCAAAAGGTTTCCAGAAAGCTCCTGCATCATTTTAATGCTCATAGTGGCAATCTTCGCCAGCCTCTGTTTCTCAATTTCGCCGCTCTTTTGATTCTCCTGGAAGACGAAAAGATTGTCATGTACTTGGTGAATTCAGGCTCGAGGACTATCACTATCTATCATGAATGGATTGCAGGTCAAGATATGCCACCAATTATTGTCTCACCTTGTCGTTACTAAGCATACTGTTTACCGCAAAATGTTGCAGACAGACACCAAGCGTCTAAAAAGGACAATTAGAAATGCATCAGAAAGATGAGCGTGTGCTGACAGACTGAAAATTTTGTAGGGCTTATTGCTTATTTGCACTACTGCAAATGACCAATATTCCCTAATAAAGTCATTTTAATCCGGTCTTGGCACCGCCGGGGTTAACTAAACAACTATTTCAACCATTTTTCAAATGATCCCCACCTGAAGTAAATACTGTAAAGCCAACTCGCACAGACTGTTATCCTGAAGGTGTCTGATTATGCCAAGTCCAGCACTACTAGTCAGCATCAAATACGAAGACTGTTTATCCACTTCACCACTTTCAGTTGCCTTTGATTCTGATCAAAAGCACAAAATCATCCCTTGAGTTGAGAGCTTACGATACGTAACTCGACAAGATATTTAATAAGCAACGTCAAGATTACTGCGTCGTGAAATGCTAAGCATTTTAATAATAAAAACACTAATAGAGAATTTCGGTGTCTCTAGGTGATAAGGTTGACTGGTTACGTATAGCCTCAATAAGCATAAGAATCCGCTGAAATTTGGCTGGTTTCAAAAGCTGTGATTGGTGGATTTCAGTCCTAGCTGTTATAGGCGTGCTGCAGTCGAAACGACTTGCAAGAAACTGAAATGGTTCTATCGACTTACAGCACAACTTTACCTTGACACTTTTGTCTTCTACCAGCTACTCGTGCTTGATAAAATGGTCTTTGTCCGGCTGAGTTGTAATTGGCTGTTGGTGACGTAAATAGGAGTCCTCGTTTATCAGGTGGACATTTTTGTACACAAGGTAGGTAAGAGTTTCATGGCATGATCTTGTCATGTCATGTCAAAATTCTTTCAACAAACCATATTGGTATGAAATAACAATCATATCTGCGTCTCACAACAGTTGATGCGGACATGAAAGGTTGTCCATGAGATCATAAAATAAACATTACTCACATAGACCAGGCCTCTAATAACTCGAAAATCTTCTGGTTTCCCTAACAGCTCACTGGTATTAACAGTTTATATATTCTTTGGAGCAGTGCTTTCTCTGGTTTTTAACACGAGAAAAAAAAGGAGACTTAATCCGGGCGCTAAACTTTAGGGTGCTTTGATAAATACGATATTAGCTTTTTCTAATGAGGCTGTACAGACCGTTTTTGGGCCAGAGATGTTCCCAGATCTCTTGATTGTCACGTGACTGAAACAACAGGCAATGTACCCCTGCAAGAACATTTTTCGAATTTCTCAGTCGTTACCTGGAACTGCAGCTATGCTAAGCTTTGCAGCTAAGGGCAAAGCAACAAAAGAATCCAGCACTAGACAGTCTTCCCTGAACCTTTTACCAAATGTCCATTCCATAAAGGGATCCTGACTTGAGCTGAAAAAGTAAAGGAAGAAAAAAGAGGACAGATTAGCATGGAATTTGACTAAATATGAACACGTAAAGTTTGTGCATCTTAAACCTTTTCACCCCGATATCAGTAATGTCCAGTGCATTTTCAACAAAAATGAACGGACGATTTGATTTAAAAAGAATAAAGAACTTTTTTTTAAGATGGCGCTCATTTATTATTTTTCAGCAAATATAAAATAAAGAGAAATTAGATGTCAGTCACCGGTGGTGACCATTCATACCCTTGTATCTCTTTGTATGATGACAATAGTGATAAAGGTGTGGAAAATGTTGATTTATTTAGTAGACGAATTCAAGACAATCAATGAAAGTTGGAATCCAATGTCCAAAGTAGCCAAGTAAACGGTACAGACATACAACTAAAGCAAATGTAAGACTAAATTTTTCTCTGCGTGATGACACCACAAAGTCATTCTTGTACTGAAGCAAGACCTCGATGTCCTTCCATCATTATTTAACTGTGTTTAAGCAATCAGTGGTTAGCCTCCAGAACGTAAATTGGCCACTGTAAAGAGTTTCAAAGCTAACGTTCGAGCGTTAACCTTTCGTCAGAGCGAATGACCAAGGGCTAACGCTCGAAACGTCAGTGTCAACTCTCCCACTGGAGTAACACCACAGTTTCTTTAAATATTTACCCCCTTTATTCAGTTAGCCTTGCGAACCTAGTGGTGCAACACGGTTTCTATCACTCAGAACGACTAGGAGTATCGCTAAAGCCTCTGAATGGGATGCTACACCCCAACCAGACAGCCATTCGTCAAATTTCCCTAACAGTTACCAGTTCCCATTTACGCTTCTGAGTGGAATTTGCACTGTGATAAGAGTGTGCCTTGACAAAGAACACAACACAAACGACCCAGCCAGTTTTCGCGCCCAGAACAGCACCCATTGGAGAATTGCGTCTCCGCGGGCTCATAATGTCTTGGGATAATAGACAAAACTTGCGTGAAAAACGTAATACCAAAAGATGCCCACCTTTGTGGAGTTGTTTGGACGGAAAATCCGTAATCACCACTCTCACACTGCGAGTACACAGAGTCTGTCAGACGGCAATACTTGCACAGCTCAGCGCAGTCACATAGCAAATCTAGGCAATGAGAAAAACACGCCATAAAAGAAATCAAATACAAGATAAGGTTATAAACAACTGTATGTACAAAGTAACTGTCAGCTTTGAACAAATTCAAGGAAGATCGTGTCAGTTGCAAGAGCAGTTTCTTTAATTTAACTGTCAACCATACAGTTTCCCATCAAGTCGTAAAATCTAGTGACCAGTTTTTAAATGCTGCTCCGCAAAAGTTGCAACTATTAGCAGATAAAGAGGCACGATATGCGTTTCGCCACGGGTGTGGGACAAAGGAAAAATATTAGAAACCCCCCAGAGATTGCACCTCACGGCAACGAATCTGAAGATTTGAGGTTTGAATACTTAAAGCAGACTCATTTTTTCTGTGCCTTACACTCGCGACGAAACGAATATAAACATTTTACACTGATAAGACTAAGACCAAGCTAGATCTTATAAATCTTCTTCATCTACATAAACAAAAGAAAAGGACGGTTTGCTTTCTTTGTCCAATCAGGACTACTAACCTGCTGAACAGTGAGTCGATGCTTGACACAAGAGCTGATGTATCGTATGAGTCAGGTGATACATGTTCTCGTTCTTATCCGTAACTATGGAGTGTCCTTCAGCAAGCGTCTCACAAAGATTGAGAACGACTTTGTACAAGGTCAAGGCAGTTCTTGCACATGGAGCTCTTTCAATCAACTCCCTAAAACAATTCCAATGACCAAAAGCAATGTTGAAATTTCCCGCCATCTCCGAAAAAAAGGGTTAATTGTGTGCAAAATGTCTAGGGACGCTCATCATAAGTCTGGTGCACGGATATAAACAAAACAATGACTTAGCGTCGTTAGGAATGGCATGGCGGATCTACAATGATTAATTATCCTAAAGATCTTACAAGTCGTACTTTAAGTGAAAACCCAGTAATCTTTAAAACCGTTTTTTTGTTCAGAACCGTAAGAGGGAAAAATACTGTTGCACTACTGACCATGGATAACGCAAAATAAGAAACTTGTCATGAGAGGAATGCAGTTTACAATCGTCACATACGACAAAGACAGCAATATAACAAAACAGATCGCTTAATTTTCAGGCAAAGTTTTTGACAAAGTACAGAAACCCACTAAGAAGAGATGAAAGTGACTATGATGGATTAGCTATTGCTTGTTGAGAAAGCAGCTTGTTGACAATTGTGGATAACAAGCACGGGACACAGAATACCAAGCAATGAAATGTTCTTTCTTTTTCAAAACCAGAAGAAGTTCACAGGACGATAGCATACCTGCACATATCTAAAGCATACGATATATTCCCTGCAGAGATTGCTTTGGACATCAACGTCAGTCTTATTTCTTCCTTTAACATTCCCACTAATTCCCCTAACCTTCAAAAGACATAAGATATAAACTACATTAGAGAAAATACCGTACATGCTAACGTATCTTCACTTAACGCTACTATTTGAACAGCCTATGGTTAATCGCAGAATTATTGCATCATTGGATCTAATTCCTGCTTTACGTGTTTGATGCTTTTGCTATAAAAAGTATTGTCTAAAGCGTAACAGACTGAAGAAAATCTCAACTCTGGCTGTATTGATGTTATAAGTTCGTGAATAGATTCTAACCATTTCGTTACGCCATTTTGATGCATGAATATTAGTAGGTAATGACCTGCTTAGTTATGATCAACATAAGATCACTGTATCTCAGCATCTAAAACAGATCTAAAAGGTAAGGTTACAAAAGACGACATCTAAAGGTAACGCCTTGTAGATACGTCACATTTTCTTAACGAGAAGCAGTTAACGAACGATGAATCCTAATAAGTAAGAGATAGTTGGACATTTCTTTATAAATAATATCCGTTAAAAGAAGCCAACAAATACTTACCTGAATAGTTTAGTCAATGTCACTTGTTCTACACCAGAGCATACCTCGCTACTAATCTTTTGCGAATCATGCTATGAAAAAACAAACAGAGAGATAAGGATACATAGGGAGTAATGGCGAAGACACAGGTTCTGTACTTTTGAAAAAGCCCAAAGTATCTCATGCCCTGACGTGGCATTTCACTTCCGAAAAGAGGCTCTCGACCAGTAAATTCTATAGTCATGATAATTATCTAATATCCTTTGATTTCTTTATACATACATACATACATACATACATACATATATAATTTTTATTGGGATAGCACAGCATAGGGCGTTGCACCAAATTAACCAAGAAAAGAACACAGAATCTCAAATAACACCCCCCTACCGAAAAAAATGAAAATAATAATAAAAAAAATACTGAAAGAGTGATGACCAGCGACCCAGGGTTTGTTTATTAGTGACTTGAGCCAAGTTCATAATTCGTGAGCAGTTTTTTTCAATACACCGACAAACAGGAGTCAGTCATTACCTTTTCATAAACATCACTGTCCTTCTTTTCACGAGAATCTAAATACAGTTGAAGATATTGTTCAAATAATCCATGCCGAACGTCGGGAACCTGATACTCCTCGACAGACAGGAATACAGAGAATTCTCTCTGAAACGCAAACAAAAAAAATAGGAAAAAAGAAAAAGAAAAAATAAGTTTACACAAAAAAAAGAAGAAAAAAAAAAGGTCAGTTTCATCTCCAGTACCATGGAAGATGCAGTGGCCTAACAGTTAATTAACTCCCAAGGTCTCATTGTCAATTCTCCGCTCTCGCTGCTAAACATTTCTTTGTAAATAGTTTCGAGAATTTGGTGTTAGATCAAGATAACTTCTACTTGATAAGTTTGGGTATTCTCATAACCTGTTTGCTGGATAATGTTTTGATATTACAAGGAGAAGTTATGTGTTAATCACTTTTGGGAGTTAAAGGGTTAAGCAAACTGGTCCATGTTCTAGCCCTGGCTGGGATCATCCTATTCTGGGGAAGGGGAGGGGGAGTAACCCTTTTGCTATTGAAACCAGAATAAGTTTGAGCGGTGTCGATCACTTGGCTCGTGAGCAATCTACAGCAAAAGGGCTACTCCCCCTCTCCTCCCCCAAAATAGTCTGATATGGATACAGTTAGATTCCAAATTAGATGAACCTCACCTGAAGTGCAGAAATCATTTGCAGTGTAGAAAGAGATTCATCTACGTCGACAATCGATGAAAGGTCTTTGAATCAAAAGCGAAGACACAAAAAAGGGTCAGAAACAAATCATGAACTATCTCTAAACAATCATATGCATAAAGTAATTGTGGAGTAGAAAACAGATAAAATAGGTAGTAAAAAAGAAAGAGGTTACACTCACTATGCTTCTTCATGAACTTCAAGATTGCAACCCCTGCTTGAGCAGCCACAATCTTCTCTGAAGAGAATTCCTGGATGTTTGAAAGAACAAATGGTATCCATTTAGAAGCGTAAAAAGTTTTAAAAATTATTTTCAAAAGGCTATTCTTCCTCAACATCAGCAACAGCAACAAAAAAAAGATTAATAACCTTCGTATCACTGAAGTTATTTTCAAGAATTCCACTGAGCCAAGTCACCAGTTCATGCGCATACTGTTCTGCTTGCGGTAATGGAACTGACTCTAGCAACTCCAAACAGGCTGGAATCTAAAACATCATGTGTTAGCGAGTCTCATTTTCAGAATGGGACGGTAACGTTAGCCAATCAGTTAACAAGATTTTTTCATCTCACCCACCCACGGATTAAAGGAAAAAAAACATGGCTTGACAAGGAAAAAAGGAAAGACGTTAAGTTTTAAAATGCAAATATAAAGAATTGTGCACCTTGTCCTCACGACACAATTTCTGAAGTCGAAAGACGTAAGCTTCGTCTTCTGTAACATGACTATATGATGTTACCACCTTCAATAAGAAAAACAAACTCAAACATGTACTAGAAATAAATGAAATAAAGCAAAGTAATAGGTATGGTTAATCTTGTATCCTGGTGGTTGAAGAATATACAAGAAGTAAACTTGGAAACTCACTGGAAAAACGTGTCCGTGGGCAATACCAGTTTTAAACGGAATGGCTTCAAACTGATCGTTCTTAGAGATGGTTTCTCAGTTATCTTGAAAATAAACGAGCCCTACATGTATTTCAGGTGGTTGTTCTACATGTAAATAGTTCTGTTTTAAACCGCCACTTAAGAGGTCCCTTAACTTTGTAACTTTGCACTGACTGGGTTAAGAAACATTAAAGTAGCATATGGCTCATTAAAATTGCTACATTATGAAAGTAAAACAGCAATGCATTTGTTTCGAGTTACCTTCAAGGCGTCTTCCATTACATTTGGTTGATCTCGGGTCAAAATATATCTTGTTATTGCCTGGAATTAAATATTCAACGCGGTTTTATTTTCAAGCAGATCTGATTTCACGGTTTGTATCATACAGAACGACAATTACGTCTGAGTTTTCCTTAAAAACTATTCACAGACATTGACAGTTGATCCAAAATCTAACTGAGGAAGAAACATATGTGCGAGTAAACAGCATTTATCAATATTAAAATCAGTTGATATTTATGACAACAATTTGCGTTACGATTTTTGCATCATCAACATCATCATAGTTATTGAGGAAATTTGCCAAACTATTTTTAATCCGTAACAGCTTCTTCCTTCTTCCTCGCTGTTCATCGTTTCTTTACTATTTTTCTAACCTATCGAGTTTATAATTTGTGATTTCTTCGTTCGACGGTAGACGCTTCCAGCGCAAAAATTAATGATCGAGAAGTTCATTTCTTCACGATCATCTTAAAAAAATTCGATTTCTTCAAACTAGGAAAATTGGGCGTGTTCTTGGAATAAGTTTGTGCTAAGTGTTGTATATCATCCATAAAGAATAGTTCGGTTTTTCAATGTCAAATTGCAAAACACGTTTTAACAACATTTCAAGCATCAAGTGCACTTAATAAGGACATTGTAACAAGGGGTTCGATCTGAGAAAAGTCGAGGACTTAAAAAAGGTGCACAAGGACACTTATGAATTGACTATTGATTTCCTTCGGATATATTTTAAAACGTATTTATCCTCCCTTACCTTCGCTCGTGCAGCGTAAGATACATGAAAGCTTCTTATTCGATATTGAGAAAGCATCTTTTTAAGCTCAACAAGTCTAAACTGCTCCTTGAGGTTCATATCACTGTGAAGATAATGATTGAGTGATAAAAGAAACAAAGAAATCAGATGAATGCAACAGTAATAATAATAATATTTAATACTTATATTGCGCTTTTTCTATAAAAATACTCAAAAGCGCATTACAATATTATTAAAGACTAAATTAAAACCAGTAAAATTACTCGGTAAAATTACAATATTAACATTACAATATTAAAAAAATAAAAATAATAAAAATAAATAAATAAATAATCTAACTAAAAGCCTTTTTAAATAAATATGTTTTAACAGAGCGTTTAAAAGAGTCGATTGATGTTTCCTGTCTAATTGGCAGAGGAAGACTGTTCCATAAAAAGGGGGCAGCCATCGATAACGCGCGATCTCCCATGGTCTTCTTCGTTCTTAGCTGAGGTCTTTCTAACAATATACCATTATTGTTACGGCGTAGTTGGTAACGTGAGACCGGTAAGACAGAGACAAGATCCTTAAGATAGCTAGGCGCAACACCGTGAAGAATCTTAAATGTAACAAGGAGAATCTTAAAATCTACGCGCGAGCGCACTGGTAGCCAGTGGAGTTCCTGCAAAGTATACCTACAAAGTATACCTACAAAGTGCATCACCTGAAATTTAAGTAAAATTTAGCGAGTTAACGTACTTGGGGACCAAAGATCACGTAATTCCAAACTAAAACTTTCGGCAGTTTATTTAACATTTGAAGCTATAAACTAAGTTGATATATTCACTCTATGCAATCCTTTCAAATAAAGCACGACCAGAATCAAAGTTCTTCAAAATTCAGCGAATTTAGAAGATACGGAAGCCAGCTGAAGTAGAATTAATTAATATTTCCTTGCACTGCATGAGGCAGAGTAGATACAAATAAGGAACACTTAACATCTGAACACAGACCTTTCGTTAAAAAAAGGCCATCAGCAGTATGGGGCCCCTAGTAGGATAACTGACCAATAAGAGTGCAGAAAATGTTACATGTGACCTGCATTAGTTGCTCTCAACTAACAGATTACAGGACTTGAATTAGTGATGGAAATTGATTGGTGGGCTTGAATTTTGTAACGCCATCGAGTCTGTTTGGTCGAATACAATTGTAGTAGCTCAGATAATGCAAACTTTCGGCAGAAGAATAAAAAGACAATCGGCAAAGTACACATGCAATGGAGTTTGTGTTCATTCATAACGTGGCAGCATACGTAGTTCGTCAAGTTCGCACGTAATTTGTCATCCGTATGAATTTTCTCCATCTTCAAGCATCCTTTGTTTCTATTCGGTTCATTCCTGTTATATCTCCTTTTTGTTCCTTTTTTTTTTACTTTCCATTAACTGAACAAAGTAACATATGATGGAGAGACTTCACTAAAAAGTAACAGTGTTTTTATGTAAACTTACTTTGGATAGGCTGCCATGAATTCAGAGACCAGCTTTTCAACACTTTCGCTCCAAGGTATCATAGCATGTCGCATGACTTCGAGAGTTGCTTTGCAACGGACCTGGAAATATAGTAATAAAAGAAACAAAACAGTATGCAAACTGATTTCCATGCGCTTCCCGTTCAAATCGCCCTTCCCATGCAAATTTTTTAATTTAATTAATGGGAGAGGGGCACAATTTAGTGGTTTATTTAAACTATCACAAGGAAGATTCGGACAAAAGAATATACATGTCGTAAACAAGTTACATGTCATAAATGGTTGTCACCTCTTTTTCTTTGATGCAAGAAATGATTGCAATAACTCTGGCCTCCCACAGTGAGTTAGACAATGACGAGTAGGATCCATCACTTCTGTTGAACAAATCCTTCGACAGAAACGTAAAGTGTCATGACGAAATCATTCTTCCAAATTGAAACAAAAAAGTCCAATTTCCATGTAAGTGTTGGAAATATCACACAAACTGAAATCCCAAAACTAGCATTTTTAAGACTGATGGGAACTGATTTTAACATTAATGAAATGAATGGGCAACTGTAAAGTATTGAGATGAAACTACAAGTAGACCGGAAATAAAAAGACGACAGAGGTTACCTAGGCCAAAAAAAAACAAAACAAAACAAAAATAAACCAAGAAACAGATTAAAACAGCAACACCAACATCAACTAAAGTTAGAGACATCAAATCGAAATATGTTGATAAGGCTCCCTTCTGCAGAAGTAATATACTATAGTTTACTTACCTCTATGTATCGTAGAAGCATAGTGTCCCTATCAAGGCTGTGATGAACCATGTACGGTGCTATGTATTTGGCGATTGCACTCGGAATGAGTTCAGCGGCCACTACACGGTCCAGCAGGCGAAACACTATTGTTGCTATGGTTTCCTGTGAAACAGCAAAAGTGTTACGTACAATCTACTCTTTCTAACGTGGACCTTTCAGGAAAAAAAAGTTTGACTTGTCTTGTGTTAGAACGATGACTGGAAATAAAGGAAAAGCGCGTTCACTGTATTTTGGCCCTAAGTCAGTAAATCGAATGCTACTTTCAACAGAGAAGAAACGCCTTCTGGAGACGGGCAAGACTTCTCCACCTAGTTTCAAAGAGTTACTCCAGATTTTGGGTAGATTCGTCCAATTTGGACAGTTCTATCCGATTTCTGACCCCTCTGTCCGTTTTTGTGCACATCCGTCGGATTTCGGACACTTTCGTTCGATTTTGAACGTTTTCGTCCCATTTCGGACATTATTGTCCGATTTCAGATGGCTATCATCCGATTTTGGATATTTGCTTCCGTTTCCGGACATTTTCATCCGTTTTCAAACACTTTTAGACAGATGTTGCGAGATCATCCGATCGCATGCTTCCGTCCAATTTAGGACGAATCTGTCCGATGATTTCTGACTCATTTGCTGGAGCCTTTAAAATTAGCCCTTTTTAAAGGATATTTAGAGTTTATTTGTGTTCGGAGACGCTGAAACTCTTTATTTGTTTATCTTCCTTTATTTCAAGAGAATTTCCAGAAGTATACGAAACCCGACACTCTGCGCGCCTTTCACTTTTACTTTGGACCAAAGCAAAGCGACCATTTAAAAAATACCTGAGAAAATTCTGCCAGCGTTATTTTACAAGAATACTTGGTGTGAAGATCTACAAGCTCAGTCAACTGCTGAACCAACTTCATTAAGCTGGCTAATTCATCGTCAACATCCTGATAGGAAAAAAAGTCACAGATTACATGTCACTACCGCAGGAGCAATGCAATACACAACCTATCACTTTGAGCAATATTGAGGTAAATGTACCACTAACTACTTTTAAACACTACTACTACTAATAAAAATTTTTGACTTAATATTTAATTGTTCCTCGTCAATAGAGACTCACATTTTACCGTCAATCAACCTGACAAAGCAAACAATGGAAACTTTACTGAGAAACTGGACAAACAATGAAGGGTATATTTCATCAATCATTTTCATAGTTGTACTCTCATAATTAATAATTTAATATTCAATTGGATGCGTAAGTATTAATCAGCTCAAAGGTTAAAGAGGTCGAAGGCTCTTAGCTTGCAGCAAGGCGGATTTTAACAGCCACAAAACCATGTGTCTATTAAAAGCCAATAAACACAACGACGTGAAAAGCAACTGATAACTTTGTGAAGTTTTATAAACTATACGCTTTTAAATGGCTCAGTCAGAGTTAGTTTGGAGACTCAGGCACGTACCAAGTTATTTTTGCTATCCTTTAATAGTGCTCTTGCTGTTGCAGGAAGACCACAAACCTACAAACACAATATCTACTCAGCACTGAAAAAATCTGATTTTCAAAAGTTACTCAGGATATAGAAAGTACAAGACTTCATCTTCGGACTGTCTACATCATTAGAAGACTTGACAGAACCAGGAGAGAGGCAAAGATGGCGTGTCAGTCCTACTCAATAGAGAGCAAACTCCGCTTCCTTCATATGCTGGTCAGGAATTCAACCACTAAACCATAGTATGAATGATGTGATCAGATATTCATGTCATGTAACAGACTGGTATCAGTAGTTAACATGATACAAAAAACAATACACATATCTCTCTTCGAAGAATAAAATACCTGGTCTGAAAACTGAGCGGGAGTGGCAAGACCTCTCCCTGAAGCACTCCCTGAAACGGACTTTGACGCACACAACAGGACACTTGCAAGTTGCAAAGCATTTTGAGGCCAACCCTCCTGAAATAAAACAATTTCATCGGCTTAATCACTCGAACAAAGTATTTTCTAAAGAGAACCATACTGAGCAAAAATTTCTTCTGGCACTATCCAAGCGCTTATTTCTAACCTTCTCAGAAAGCTCCATATTTTTGGCTCTTTGCTCCAACCAACTCGCGAGCATCCGCTGAGAACAGAGAAAAACATCAGTATGAGAAAGTAACACAGGTTACCTCTTCTCCCCTCTTCGCCGTTATGAACACTACTTAGGCGGTGGTTAAAATAAGGCGGAAAAAAATTCAGGCATGTAAGGGCCTGAATTTTTCAGTAGTGTTCAGAAATGTGAAGATCGTCTCTATATTCACTTCTTTAACCGCAATTCACATATATGATTTTCATATATTTATGGTCATTTATTCACCACTTCACGGGTTTATTTACGACCAACATAATGACCAGCTCTAGGTTGGCTGGTTAGCTCAGTTGGTAGAGCACTTCACCGGTATCGCAAAGGTCATGGTTTCAAATCCCGTACGCGCCTGAATTTGATTCAGGCCTTAGTTTCATTACTGCTTAAGTAGTGTTCCTAACTGCGAAGATCGCTTCCATATTAAAGAAATAACATGTAGACTGAATTGAGTGATAAGTTCTTTGTCGTGTGTTTTAACTTACCAGACCCGAGGGAAAGGCCTTACTGATAAAAGGCACAAGGTCATCTTGTAGCCACGGAATAACAATGGAAGAGTGTAAGTCTTCGGGAATTGAACCAATTAAAGACTCCAATTTTTCCATACTAAACTGAGTGACAAAATGACTCTGCAAAAGAAGTAATGGAATAAATAGTGCCGTTCCCACAAAAATTTGCCACAATAAAGTGGGTGTTGAACTGAACGCTCTTATTATCATTTCTTCGTATTGTTTTATCCTTGGTGTTCACTTAGAAGTACAGTTGCACCTTTATTTAGCGGCACCATATTAAGCGGTCACTCTCTATCAAGCGGTCTGTTTTCAAAGTCCAGAAATTGTTAACCCTCAATTACTGTAATTTCCCCTCTGTTAAGCGATCACGAATGCCGTTTACTGAGCCTCATCAGGAACTTAGCATGGAATAGCTTATCCTGTGTTTCTCTATTTCAGAATACCGATTAAAATAAAATCTCACACCAAATTCAGTCCTATGTTATGAATCATTTGCCTACACTGCTTTGTGACTTTGAGACACTTCAAGATCACTTTACCTGATGTCTTCTCCAAATGATAACTGCACTGGTGACCTTGCTAGAAAGCAGGCATTTTGTCAGCTCAACGAGGAGGTCAACAGAGGCAAAGTACTGCCACTGGGGGCCACTGTGAGACAACGTAAAAAAAGATGTTAGTTCTGCAATGAAGAACAAATAGTTAGAAATACTCGGTGCGTAGCCAGGCTTAATAAAAAGTTTTGGTAAAAAGAATAAAAAAGTTGACACTGGCTAAAAACATATATTGTTCTGGACGTTTCGGCTACTGCTGTTGCCTTCTTCAGCAAAGATAAAAAAGGGAAATGTCTAACGGCGTCCTGCTTGGTGTATGTCCACGATGTGTGATAAAACTAAACCTCGAAGGAATTTTTTAAGTTTAACAATAGTCTCTAAAGTATTTTTAATGGCTCTAAAAATTCTCAATGTTGTTGTATATGTTTGGTAGCGTTATGTGTTCGTTTATAGCGTTTCCATCTCGCATGGAATGCTAAGCTTAAAGAATTAGTCTTTGTCGCCACGCCGATGACCTGTCAACTAGTCAACAATTTCAACACTCTCCAAATCTGTTTGGTGACTGTGAAGCATATGGTGTTTGGCCAACAAAGAGTTTTCATCCAATGTTGCTATGGCCTTTGCGTGATCTTTCATGCGTGTTTTTAGTGCCCGGATGTTTGACCAACTTAAACACAATCACGATCTTTACAGTTGATCTTGTACACGATTCCTCTGGAAGCCTCTTCCTCGATCTTCTCTTTGGGCTTTTGAAGTATGCTCGAGATGGAGCGGATAGGCTTAGGGGCGACCTTGATGTTGAAACTTCGAATAAATTTTGTGACTCTCTCGTAAAATAGGGCTTGGTTATCCTGTGAAAATCTCTAACAGCATACTTAATCAACTGGGTTCACAGATTGAAAGATAACACAAGTGGGTAATGATGTCATTTTCCCTTGCAAATTGGTCGCAACATGATCTCTTACTGATGAATGGTTTAAATGGAATAGATTCAGGCTTGTCTTTACAGTTGCTGCACAATAATGAGCAAGTTGCTCTGAAAAATATAAATATATTCAAGTCCTGATGAACTAAGAAAACGAAAGACAAGAAAATTGAGAGAAAATCAAACACACCTGAAATTTTCAACTCCAAATGCCATCTCAAAAGTTGCTAGTCTATCCAATGCCTCAAGGACCTACCAAAATGAATATTACCACATAGTACCGGGTATTCACTTTTGTCATAGTGAGGAAACATACAATTCTTAAGTATCTTGTAAAGCTAATTCAGTCATCAGATATCATGGCACTGGATGTCTTGTAGTATCAGCACGATACTGACACAAACTTCACCTCAGTCAAGAGACGTGATGGTTTTCCACATGGACCTTCTTTTTGGCTATGCACCCCACTGTTGCTGGAAATCTGAGGAGGGAAAAGAAACAGGATGAAAAAGACAACAACTAACAAGTACAACTCTTGGATACCAGCTAAAAAAGGAAGACTTAGCAGAAGAAATTTCATTGAGTGTGAGATACCAGACGAAGTTTACTCATTGTGGTTACACAAAATGATGATAGCTGGCTGGTTAAGAAAATCTAAAGTAGTATCCCATGCAACACTTGTGGTTCAATAATTATAGCACTTGACAAGTAAGTAATAGCAAATAAGGAAGGGCACCACTAGCAAATGGTGGTGGGCTTTGGTAAAGATGGCAGGGTCTCTGGAGTAACAAGCTATCACCATTTAAACACCATGGAAAAAAAGAAGTCAGAATGTCCATCCTACCAGAGATTTTGCTGATCACCTCCCCCCACGCCCCTGGATAGGATGCCAGTCTATCACATGGTAACCCACCAGCAATCCAGCAAGATTCCTTGACATTTTGCTGGCACCCATTTATACTCCAAAGGGGGGGGG